TGAGGAGACTGAGGTACTTCAGGATCATTCAAAAATTTGGGGGGAAGATTTGAGTCAGTGTGTACTTTATTTGATATCTGTTCATATCTATATGCTCAACATCTTGTCCATTTAGTGTAGTCTCAATCTAATCACATCATTAGCTACTTAGCATGAGATGAGCAAGAACTTTTAGCTAAAAGACCAAGGTAGAGTTCTATTGCCCTTCATCTTATGGAGTAGATATGTTTCTGGAAAGATGTGGATTGACTACCTTCATCTAAATTTGATTAGAAGGAGCAGAAATTTGAAATGGGAGGTGTATTTTATCACTCAGCTTCACCCACACACACAGGGGCTTGAATTGGTTTCCAATAGCATTGCTGAATAGCAAAAAGCCACTCTGTATTGGGGAACATTACATAGTTTGGCCATTCAAGGGAGGAAATATGAGGCATTTCTGGGGCTCAGCAGATTTTTGGAGAGATGGGCACCTTGTGTGTAGGCAGTGGGCAGGCAGGTGTCAATGAGGAGGCCGGTCCAATGAGAACAGAAAGAGCAGCTGCCCACTACCCGCAATGCAGGACCTGCGGGCATGGCTAGGCTTCGGCACAGCGTGTGTTCTGGCCACCCACCCATCCTCTCCATTCCCAGTTTCCTTCCCATGAACCTCCAAGAACAACCATGTACCCAGGTGACTTCAGTTCCTCCTTTCCCCTCCTTCCAAGGCATAAACTCTTGCCTTGCCTCCAATGTGGCCTTCTTTTTGTTTTTTGTTTTGTTTTTTAATCCTCACCCCAGGATATTTTTCCATTGATTTTAGAGAAAGTGGAAGAGAGAGAAAAACAAAGAGAAATATCGATGTGAGAGAAACACATTGATTGGTTGCCTCCTGCACGAGCCCCGACCAGGCCCACGCTGGTGAGGAGCCTGCAACCGAGGTACATGCCCTTGACTGGAACAGAACCTGGGACCCTTTGGTGCACAGGCTGATGCTCTATCCACTGAGCCAAACCTGCTAGGACTGTGGCTTTCTTTTTGGAAACTCAAGAACGTCATTTTGGGATAAGAAACCCTTGTTTATTTCTCTTTGTTTCTTAACACAATTCTGGTTCTTCTTGAGGGAAGAAGGAAATGGAGAAACATTTTTAAAAAATATATATTTTATTGATTTGAGAGGGAGAGGGAGAGAAAGACAGAAACGTCAACAATCAGAGAGAATCCCACTGGGGATCAAGCAGACAACCGGGGCATGTGCCCTGACTTGGAATCGAACCATGATCTCCTGGTTCATAGGTCGACACCCAACCACTGAGCCATGCCAGTTGGGCGGAAATGGGGAAATTTTTACTTCAAGATAATGTTTAAAGATAGCTTACAAGTCAAGAGAACTTCAAAGAGTCCCAGGTGACTCTCCTTTCTAACTGAATAATCACACCCTGACTCCTTTTTGGCTTTTGGGTATATTTATATTTTCATCCCCAGATTTGCTCAGTGCATGTTAATGAATGAAGCCTCCAGTTTTACCCACCTCTCTTTCTCTCTGGTTGGTTTGCATATTTACTTCCAAGTAGCAGCCCAAATTACTGAACTTATTCGTCTGCACATCCAAGTATTTCAGCTAATTGTCAGATTTCTGCTCTATGTTGTCACATGACTGTGACTCCCGCACCAATGGGCTCAAATTCTGCCCAGATATAAAGGGCTCAGTGAACCAAAACCAGGACAAAGCTCACGGCAACGGCACAAATGTCAGTGTCGTGCTTGGTTCAAGGAGCTGATGTTTAGAGAAGTAAGTACATCTATATTAGTTGTCATGATGAATTGTTCTGTCGCTCACCCTGACAGAAAAGTAATTGAATTTTCTTTTCCCGGGGCTCTTTAACTCAAACGTTCAAAATGACCTGACCTCAGGTAGCCCAGAGCGGAAGTCCTAAGATTGAAAAATAAGTAAATACATTTTTAAAGAGATGGAGAAAGCAATGCTTCCCAAATACATCCCATTCGGGCCAATAATCAAAGAGGAGCTGATAATAACTGGAATGTTTGCTCTCTCCTTACTTACATTTTTTAAAAAGTGCTTAGAGCGTTTACATTGAGCCTCTGGGTGAGGAGAGTGTCCATGAGTGGGAAGTTTATGCTTGAGGGACGTTCTTTCCACCACCACCGTGTACATATATTCTAGAAAACCAGTGCCAGTCTGATGACCGACTCGGGGCTACAGGTATAGTTCAGAAGCTGGGCAATTGGAGACTACTGGCAGGTTTTGCTTTTGTTAATAACCCATTTTTAAGTTCAGCAGACTGGTATCTCCTGTGATTCTGATTATATCCTAAAACTCCACTCCAAGTTCAGTGTCAGCAGATCCCAGTCTGATAGTGAGACTGTTTCCTTGGTTTGCTTTTAAAAGACATGCTCAACACAAAAGTGGCTGTCGTGAGGGAGCCACACAGCCCACATCAGTCCATGGTTTCACTCAGAGGCAACCTCTCTCAGGTGGCTGGTGTGCCCCGCATGGCTGTGTGAGCATGCTTTGGGCAGACAGCCAAGGCTCCAAAGATATCCACATGCTCCACACCACAACCACAACCACACCCTCTTGTGGTTTAAGCACTGTCTAGTCCTCGGAGGCCTTTATGTAATTTAATAGTCAATGATAAGAGCTCTTGGTGATTAATTTTGATGCTTTTGATCACTTTCAAGGAAATAGGTTTTGACACATTGTCAAATTGACAGCAAATGAAGGTGAGTGTTTTCAAATAAATTCCAATGATGTTAAGTATCATGGTAGGAGAAATGTAATTTCTCCTAGAATACAACTACACACATACTGCTTAATTATTTGTGATAATGATTTCATTCCAAAAAGGGGTTGAGCCCTGGCCAGGTGGCTCAGTTGGTTGATCCCATATACCAAAAGGTTGCAGGTTTGATTCCCAGCCAGGGCATATACCTAAGTGGTGGGTTTGATACACAGTCAGGGCTCATACGGGAGGCAATCAATCCATGTTTCTCTCTCACATCAATGTTTTCTCTCTCTCTCCCTTCCTCTCTCTCTAAAATCAATAAGAACATATCCTTGGGTGACAGAAGAAGAAGAAGAAGAAGAAGAAGAAGAAGAAGAAGAAGAAGAAGAAGAAGAAGAAGAAATATATATATATACACACACACACTGGAGGCCTGGTGCATGGTTTCCCTCATTTCCCCACTGCGCCAGTGGGGTCCCTCAGCCTGGCCTGCTGGGATCAGGCTGAAACCAGCTCTCCAACATCCCCCTGAGGGGGTCCTAGATTGCAAGAGGGCAGTTCTTGGGTGTCACACCCCGGAATTGGGCTCCCTCCTCTCTGGTTCTGGGTACGTCACCCAAGAACTACAGTTGCCAAGTCACCACAGCTCGGCAGCTCTTGCATTGAGCATCTGCCCCCTGATGGTCAGTGCACATCATAGCTACCAATCGGTCAGTCGAATGGTCAGACGGTTGCTTAGGCTTTTATATATATAGATATGTATCCTATATAATAAAGAGGTGATATGCAAAGTAACCCTCACACCCTCACAAGATGGCTGCCTATGACCAGGTCGGCAGGGGGGTTAGTGAGGGACGACCAAACAACTGAACAAGTTGGTTGCATGGGGTGACTAGGCCAACAGGAAGGTTAGTGAGGGACAACCAAACAAATGAACAGCAGGCTGCGTGGGGCGACCAGGCTGGCAGGGGGGTTAGGGAGGGATGACCAAACGACTGAACAGCAGGCTGCGTGGGGCAACCAGGCCAGCAGGGGGGGTAGTTAGGGGTGACCAGGCTGGCAGGGGGGGCAGTGAGGGGCAACTAGGCCAGCAGGGGGGGAAGTTGGAGGCAACTCAGCCGGCAGGGGTGGCAGTTAGGGGTGACCAGGCCAGCAGGGGGGCAGTAAGAGGTGACCAGGCCAGCGGCAGGGCAGGCAGTTAGGAGCGACCAGGCAGGCAGGCAGGTGAGCGATTAGGAGCCAGTGGTCGAGGATTGTGAGAGGGATGTCTGAGGGGTCCCGGAATGGAAAGGGTGCAGGCTGGGCTGAGGGGACCCCCCCCACCCCTGTGCATGAATTTCTTACACCAGGTCTCTAGTATATATGTAAAATCAAAAGGGGTTTGAGTGGCTTCTAAAACAATAAATAAAAAATGAAATGAATAGCTAAGGATATTGGGCATATCTGAGTGATTCCACTTCCCCATTGCTCTGGCTGTCATTTGACCTCATGGTCTATGAGAAATGAGGAAGTGTAATTGGCCAGGGGAAATGACACTGAACCTGGGAATACCCTGCTCAAATTAGAGGTTTCCAAGGAAACGGATAGGCCTGAGCATAATACTTAGGTCACTTTTCACATCGTTTCACTGTTGCCTACAATTATTGAATTAAAAAGCATTTTAATAAGGTGGGTAAAAATATTTACACACATCTCAAATTATAGTCCCATTATCCCAGGGGACTGTACCCTAGCTGGTTTGGTACAGTGGGTAGTGTGTCGGCCTGTGGACTAAAGGGTCCAGGGTTCAATTCTGGTCAAGGGCACATGTCAGGTTTGCAGGCTCGATCCCCAGTGGGGGTTGTGTAGGAGGCAGCCGATCAATGGTTCTCTCAACATTGATGTTTCTATCTCTCTCTCCCTCTCCCTTCCTCTCTGAAATCAATAAAAAATATATATATTAAAATAAACCCTGCAGATAGCACTGAACCCCATGTGTGCACTAAGTCCTCCCCTAATGTTGTCCAGAAATTCTTGGAAACTGCAGCTTTAGGCAAAACGACATATAATGAAACCAGTCTTACCATAGGTTATATTTGATACCAGCAAGAGTTAAATTCCTACAGCATATTTCTAGTTACAAAAATATTGCCAAACTTTTAAATAAAGACCCAAAACACTTCATATATATATATTAGTATATATATTTTAGAACACAAAGTTTTCTTTATTTTTTGGGGGGGGGGGTGATGCCACACTTCTACTCAATTAAGAGAAGCATTTTCATAAGTACAGATGTCTTTTTTTTCTTTTACACTTATCATGCCATGAATTCATGGGTTCCAGCAGCTCAGGCTCCTTCCCATTGGCTCTCACAAAGCGTGCTCCTCTGGGTGGAGCAGGCTGGTGCTTCAGTTGAACCCAGGTACCATTCTCTTTGGCTTCCTTCCTTTTCTGATCATTTTCCTTCACACGTTTCAGGAAGCTGTCTCGGCTCTTACAGTGCTTAATATGCTCAATACGCACAGTAATTCTCTTGGCAAGGCTCTTGCCCTTAAGGTGCTTATTCACAACAATGCCCGCTGCATGCTGGGTGACATGTAGACTCCTCCAGTTTTGCCCTGGTGACATTTGCGGGGCCTTCCTTTTTGAACAGCGCCCATTCCCTTGATGTCCACAACATCACCTTGTGGATTCGCATGTATGTGGCCAAAGAACAGCTCCATGTTTTCTGAAAAGCCTAGAGAACATGCAGTGGGGCCGCCCCTCTTTCCCTGTGTGTTGGTCATTTTGGCAAATTACTGGAAGATGGCGGTTCCGAGCGGAAAGGACATTCTAATATTAAACGTTGAAATGAATGTGAGCTACACATACATTTAAGAAAAATTAACGAAAACAAGTAAGATCATTATTTTCCATTGCAGTTCATGGTCGTGGGCAGCTGGAGCCCAACCCAGCAGCTCAGGGCTCAGGCGGGACCCCTTCCAGCGCAGGGCACATTCACTTAGACCAGAGGGGACACTGTAGCCACGCCCATTCACCCACGTGCACATCTCTGGCATATGGGAAGAAACTGGAGTTCCCGGAGAAAACCCACGCAATTGTGGTGAGCAAGTGCACACGCCACAGACAGTGGCCCTGGCCAGGAATCGAGTTCTTTTCTCATCAACATTGTAACAGCATTGAACAAAGTGAGCTCATTCAAGGGTCTGCTGTACGTGTTTTCCCTGTACATACATATCTACATCAAAGTTTAATTTAGAAATGAAGCACAGAGAGATGGGCCACAATAACTAATAGTAAAATAGAACAATTATAACAATATTTTGCAATAAAAGTTATGTAAATTTTTCTTTCTCAAAATATCTTATTGTGCTGTTCTCAGCTTTACATTTAAAGGAGCACTTTACGGCTTCTCTCTGGCATATCTGAGTTGCCAGCATCTCTATTCTCGCACTTTGGGGCCATTATTAAGTAAAATAAGGGCGACGTGAACGCCAGCTCTGTGATACGGAGACAGTCGATCTGATAACCCAGCCGGCTCCTGAGTGACTAACAGCCAAGGAGGGTCTATAGCGTGGATGCGCTGGACAAAGGAATGATTCATGTCCCGGCAGGACGGAGAGGATACTGCGAGATTTCATCACACTACACAGAATGGTGTGCAACTTAAAACGTATGAATTGCTTGTTTCTGGAATTTTCCATTTAATATTTTTGGACCGACGCTGACCTCAGGTAACTGAAACTATGGAAACAGAAACTGCGGGTAAGGGGATGACTGTACCTCAAATGAGATGCTCCATTGTATCGGAAGCTTGCTGTCTTCCCCTGCTGCCCAGGATAAGCCTGAGGGGTTTATCCTTAAAAGCTGGACTTTGCCTGTCACTTGGCTCCTAGCTTGGGGGGGAGGGGGGAGGGAGATGGGAGGCGGGCAGTAGTCATTGTTTTACAACAAAAGGCATTTCCAGGAACTCTTGTATGGGAGAGAGAACTAACAGGGTTCTTTCACCTGGTGAGTGGGCGGAGGAAGGTAAAGTGGGCGGGAACTTTTACATCTCCTCTTAACCCAGTACTTGGTCTCCCAGGTCCTTCAGTGGAGCAACAAAATGGCCGGAAAACACTTTTTAAACGTCTCTATGACAATGTGGTATGAATGAGCACACTTCCGAAGGAAATGAAACTTACAAGTGCTCCGGTAACTTTATTGGTGATCTCCAGAGGGTTGTTTTTCCCCCCAGTTCATTGATTATAAATCCCAGTGTAAAACCTATGACTATTGACCCAATTAAACAGTTTTATTTTTTTCATATGTAAATTTTTTTCACCTCTCCAATTTAATTTTTAAAATATACTTGTAAGGCACTGTCTTTGTTTTCCTGTAAAATTCCCTCTGTATTGCCACCCCTTCACCACTCACTCTTTCAGCAGGTTTTTTTATCACCTGGTGCAAATCGAGTGAGAGCAGTACCATGTGACTGGAAAATTCTTCTGAAGTTATGCTGCTTTGTTATAAAAGATGAACAAGTCCTTTCTGGGCCTTGAGAAGTAGCCAGGTGGTCAGGGTTTTCATTTATCTTTTTAAAATTTAGATTTGTTGGTCTAAGAGATCTTTAGGACTGTGATAAAGGAAAGATGATATTCTAGAAGCTGATCATCTGGTACCTCTGATAAGCTCATGTATCCATTTTTAATTCCACCAAGGTTCAACTTGCACAGTAGGAAAATTTGTGGCATAATGTAAGCACTGGCTGCCACATTTTGATCTTAACCGGTGTAAGCCCTTTGCTACATTGCTTCATAGTACTAGGTGGCCATGCTATTGGTAGCTTCCATAGAATGCTACCTGGAAAATAGGGTTTGGGTTTTTTCCCTACACACCCAGACATCAGCCCATTTATTTCTGCACCAATTTATTTCTGCACCAATTTTTTCGCCCGCTCTAGAGACACTTTCTCCATGGTAATAAACGCCACAGATTGAGCTTATATCTTGAGAGGCCTCTATGTGGGATCTTTCTAATAAATTTAATACAGCACGTTAGGTTTGTCATAGCAAATACCCCTGTTTTCTATAAAATTCATGTATGCATTTCTTGTCCTGAGCCTATGAACTAAGGGGAAAATCATCAAGGAGAGAAGCTATGGATACATAACGTCATGAACCGGAGTGGCCCAAACTTCCAATTTCATTCTTCTGATGAAAAGAATTATCACCATGTGGCATATTTCTGCTGCAAGAATCTTTGCTGAAATATGCTAATAGTTTCCTGCAGTGAGAGCATTGAGTCTGAAAGGAAACGAGAGATATGAAAACACAATCAGCTCTAACAATAGGTTGGAAGTAACCATGCCTAACCATAGGGATAAAGATGAAACTAATCATTTCATTGCCCTCCCTCCTTTCGCTGCAGTGCTGACTGTATCTCGGCAGCCAAGAGGGGGTTCATTCGCGGTGCCTCCCCAGAGCTCCCTGTCCATAGCCAGGGCCACTGGGGGACAGTCTTTCAGGGGGGCACTTCTGAACTCACCACATTTATTTTTCTTAAGGAAAAGGTAGGTCTCAAGATTACTTTCCTTCCATTTTTCATCATTAATGATGAAAATAATGCAGACACATTGTATTTGCATAACATGTTTTACCCTGGGCGCCCATCTCTAGCTTCCTGAATAAGTATTTTTTTCTGTGTAATGTTGAGAGTTGAGCCTTTAATCTCATTACCAGCCTTTCTGCTACCAGGGAGTTATTCTATAGTCTTTAGAAGTGCTCCTCCAATTTGTAAACCTAACTAACAGTCACATTTTCATCGCTGAGAGATGTTAAGTAAAAGAATGCTTTGTGCTGAGAATCAAATCAAAGATCTCAGCATGTGCCCCCCACACCCCCCACCCCCGGCCTGGTTTCTCCACTTGCTCAGTATGAACTCCCTCTCTCTGGAACACTTGTCTTCATCGAGAGAAGCTTGCAGAAGAACTATGTTCAGAGCACAGCACTGTTTAATCCCTTTCACAAGACATTCTAACCTGATCACCCCACAGGAGAAGACTGTCCAGTCTTGGAGGGCGGGGGTGCTTACTTATGGAGGTTGCAGTGATCCATGATGTTGCAGGGATCGATCCCAGATGGGTGGGGTTTATGAACAGACTGTTCATCCCAAAAGACCTGGACAACCAGCAAATTACAGGTTCAGAAAATACAACAATAATTTCACAGAGACAGGTCAAAGGAAGCTTCAAAATCCCTCTTCAGTCATTCCCAGCCTTTCTTTGAATTCTCTACTTATGTTTAGCAGCTTTGGGACCAAATGCTTCGCCTAGATAATTTCTTTTAACCCTGACCACAATCCTATAGAATTCGTTTTTTAAAAATTATCGTCATACAGATGAGAAACCTGACTCAGGTGACTTTCCTGAGGTCACATGGTAGGAGACAGATCCGAGACAAGTGACCAGGTCCCTGGCTTGCAATAGCCTGCAGCTTTAATCCTCGCCTGCTCCTCCACGCATCTCTTCAGCGTCTTTCTGCCTTCCCTTCATTAAGATCTTCAGGGCAGGACCATGTTCAGATCTGGCCTTTTTCTGCCTAGTGTGGCCTTTTGCCAGCTGACAAATCTGCTTTCTTGGTTTCTTTTTGCCCCAGGGAACTGCTTTTTTATGATGAGCCTGGTTTCCCACTAGGCTCATCATCAGAATCATCTGGGACCTCACTGGTGTGTTTCAATGGTTAGAGCATTGGCCCAAGCACCAAAGGGTAGAAGGCTCGATTCCTGGCCCTGGTTGGGGCAGGTGCGGGAGGTCACCAAAAAATGTGTCTCTCTCACATCAATGTTTCTCTCTCTCTCTCTCTCTCTCTCTCTCTCTCTCTCTCTCTCTCTCTCCCCTCTCTCTCCCTCCCTCTCTCTCTCTCTCTCTCTCTCTCTCTCTCTCTCTCTTTCTCTCTCTCTCTCCACCCCCTCCTTCCCTTCCTTCCACTCTCTCTAAAAAATCAGTAGAAAATTTTCCTCAGGTGAGGATTAACAAAAAAAAGAAAAAGAAAAAAGAATCATCTGGGATGCTTATTAAAAATAGAGATGCCCCGTATCTCCTAGACACTCCGACTCATGGATCTGGGGGAATCAGAAGTCTCTTTGCTTAACAAACTCCCTCTGTGATTCTGATAATCAAGTTGGGGAAAAGATGCCATTACTCAAATTTTTTGATACGTGCACCTCATTCATAACCTGAAAAACTCCTTCAGAATTAAAAAGTAATCTCATTAGTTTTACATGAGGTTGGTAAAAAGTTAATTTTTAGTATTTTATTTCAGATCAACATAATCTCAAGGATATAAAATATTTCTAATGTCAGGTCATAACTTTCATAATTTGTAAGATGCATTTCTACAAATTGTACAAATGTGTGTGCTATTTAACACACTTTAATTTTATATGAAAAACCCAATAGGTCATTTAAAAATGAGCTATTATATTGTGTTTAGCTTGGACAAAAACAAATATTAAAAAGCAGCTTGAAATTTGGTCATGTTTAGAGCATCAAAAATGGACTGTCGACTTAATCCTGTATAATATGCAAATCAACTGAATGGCCAAGCAGCAGAACGACCATCCGGACGACCAGCTGGGACCATGCTATGACACCCACTGGCACCAGGCCAACAAAGGCGGGTGTGATGCAATTTGTTGGGGGCCCAGCCATCACCCCATGATCTACTGCAGAGGGAGGCCCAGGCAACCGATTGGTGGGCTGGGGAGGGTGGGCGGGGCCTCCCTCTGCAAGGGGGTCCCAGGTGCTGGAGGGAAGCCCATGACCTCAGCCAGGGGAAGGAAGGCCTACTCTTACACGAATTTCATGCACCAGGCCTCTAGTATTTTTATAATTTTCATTTGTTAGAATGATGAGGAGAGAATGTTTCTTTTTTAAAGTTTTATCTTTAGGAAAAGTAATTGGATAAATTATTTGCTATATTTTCTCTTTGGACAATGGTTTTGAAATACTGGAGATTTTGATGTTAAGAATTTTAATTTAATGAATGTAACTGGTAAAATTTTTGAGGCTTATTTGACAAAGGCTTATGTTATTTTCTTCATAAACTTGTATTTAAATGTCAGTATTCCAAATGCCTTGTTTATTTAACTAGTGGCCCATTGTGGGCATGAATTAAACAATGTAAAACTAAGATGAAGGATAATGTAAAATCAGAAGCACCGGCGTTAGCTAGCTGTAATCAGCAAATGGCGTGACCAAAACTGAATACCACTCCATGCACCACCACATCGGCTTGCTCCCTGAATACTGGACTGAAAAGAGAGAGATCTCAGAATAGTCACTTTCTGTATATATTGTTTTAAAATGGAGATAGAATCAAGTGCCATTACCACCTTCAACAGCGTGAACCCTCCCGGAACACCGAGGAGCACTGGCTGGGACTTGAGAAGCGCTGCTCTGTGGCTCTTGGTGCATTAGTGACAGTTCTCAGTCCGGACACCCTTGGGATGATCTGGGCAGCTTTTCAAACGCGGATGCCCGGGCCACCCCCGACCAGCCAGCCAGATCCTTGCTGGAAGCTTAGATCACCAGGACTGAGCCCCAGATGATTCTAATGTGCAGTCTCCGTGTGAAACCACCGCCCTACCCTGAAGGGAGACATTGGATGCTGTGGGAAGCTTCATAGGGGAAGGTGTTGGGGACATGCATCTTTAAGGGTTCACAGTGGTGTGAATGGCTTAAGGAAACCATGCATACCCCCAAAAATTTGCCTGCAGGATTTAGGGACCATACCTGCAAGTGGCTTTTAAGAGCCACCTGCACCCTAGACAGTTTGGCTCAGTGGAGAGAGCGTCGCCTGAGGACTGAAGGGTCCCGGGTTCAATTCCGGTCAAGGGCACATGACCGGGTTGTGGGCTTCATCCCCAGTAGGGGGCGTGCAGGAGGCAGCCAATCAATGATTCTCTCATCATTGATGTTCCTATCTCTCCCTCTTCCTTCCTCTCTGAAATTAAAAAAAAAAGCCACTTGCAAGTGGGGGCTATGGCATCTCATACACACTGCTGAGCACACTGCTGCGCCCTCCGCCTCCTGTACAGAGTGCGCCCCATCCTGTTTCATTAGGAGATCACAGGGACCCCAGCCCTGCTGCACTCATCCTGAGAGCTGGCTCCCTGCTGACCACTGAGAACAGGTGAGGCCGTGCTGCTATCCCTGAGGAATCTCCATCCAGTTGGTCGGGGACAGAGAAGCAGAGCAGGGATTACAGCCTGATGTGCTAAAAGCTGTGATAGCGATGCCAAAGGCGACCTGCTGGGTCAGCTTCCATGAACTACAGAGCCTCACCCCGACTCCACTCCAAAGGTTACAAGGACAAAAAGCCAGCATTTGCACAATTTTTCATTCTTCAGATAGAGCTAGAGATAGAGCTAGAGCTAGAGCTGGAGCTAGAGCTAGAGATAGAGCTAGAGCTAGAGCTAGAGCTAAAGCTAGAGCTAGAGATTATAGTTCTCATTGTGTCTATATATGTGGTATGTCGTTTGTTGTCTACAGAACAGATAAATAACCACAAAATATTAGATTGAAAACTCCTTTCCACTACAAGTGCTGAGCTTGTTCACATGGTCCCTGAGCATGTCATCCCTGGAGCAGGGGGCTGGCGGGGCACAGGCTGGGGGGGGGGGGGGGGAGTTAGCGGGGGAGGCCTTTGTGCCAGGTGGGCATTGTTTAGAAGTGTTATTCTGAGTATTATGGAGAGCTGACGGGAGTCTGTAGACTTGTGGGGGGGGAGGGGTGCTGTGGGGGGGGGGTGCTGTGTGTGTGTGGCGGGGCGGTGCTGTGTGTGTGTTGGGTGTGTATTTGCACGCACATGCACATGTGTGTTCAGTTCGTGCATGACAGGCCCAGACCTGCCCTGATGGGTACCTGGCTGTGGTGTCCAGGAGGTGTTACTGGGGACAGCTTTTAGTGTGTGCGGGAGGCTTTGGGGGCAGGGAGAGCAGGTTGGAGGCTGTTGACTCAGACAGTGCCAGTGGGAACAGAGGAAAGGGGCCAGGAGAGAGCACGGAAAAGGGGCTGGTGTCAGCACCTGGCGCTAACTAGGGGCAGGGCCTGGGACAGGATGATTGGCTGTGAGCTCTGTCCCACTGCGGTGGTTCCTGTGACAGAGGTGGGAGTGGGGACGGGGATGCACTGGGGAGGCTTGTCTGTGGTTCAGCTGAGTTTGAGATGCTGAAATTTTTGCTCACTGGAACTTGAAACTCAAGACACTAGTTAAAATGTTGTCTAAGAGTCGGGCCGACCTAGCTCAGTTGTTGAGCATCGACCTTTGAACCAGGAGATCATGGTTTGATTTCCAGTCAGGGCATATTCCTGGGTTTCGGGCTTGATCCCCAGTGGGGGGTGAGCAGGAGGCAGCTGATCAATGATTCTCTCTCATCATTGATGTTTCTAACTCCCTCTCCCTTCCTTTCTGAAATCAATAAAAATATATTGTTAAAAAATATTGTCTAAGAGAGAGGAGTGGGAGGAAGAAAAGTCTGGGTGGGGCAGGAGGTGATGTTAGAAGAGCTGACAGACCTTGGGGTATGCATGGTGTCTTCACACACGCCCATAACCACCTGAGCTTGTAACACAGCACACCCGCCCAGAGCAGCGTGTCCCTGACCTTCTGGGCCTTCAATCCCGGTCAGCTCTGCCTCCCAGGCAAGCACGCTGTCCTTTGAGAGTGGACAAAGGTTATAGTGAGACGGACTGTGAAACAGCCCGGGAATTCTAAGGAGTAAATGTTGCCGAAGTGCCCGCACTCTGGAAGACAGAATAGTGCTGCATGTCAAACAGCCTCCTCGTTGTGGGTTCCTGTTGGGCAAGTTTTCTCTGGGGTCCATGCCAGCCCCCCCACAACCTGAGCCAAACGCACAGAGCCACACTTGCAACAGGGTCTCTCCTCCCTGGTGCGGTGCTGTCAGTGCTGCGGGCACAGAGGCAGCTGGTGGTTGGAGCTTCTGTTCGAGGGCGCGCAGGTGTGATGGCTGCGAGTGCTCTGGGCCTATCCTCTCAATGGACTCCACTTCTCTCCATGCGCTGTTTTATTCAACAGCACAGAATTCAGGAAAGAGCCTTTTCTGTCAGCTCTTTCCTCCTCCAAATAAATAGATGGATAACTAACAAGTGCCAGCAAAGCAGGAGAAATGGTTTCAGACTCCCGCAAAACCTCTCTCCAACCACTGAAAGCTAATCAAGAAAGCTGCCTTTTCTGTTTGTTTCTTTCCCCCACCACTAGCATGTAATTTTCATGCAGCAGCTTGAAGCTCCTTCCAGGAAAACAAAATGCGATGAAATCAGCAAGGATGTGTCGCTGCACGCTCAGCCAAGTGCTGGTGGACTGCACGCACGCGGACACGTGAGCTCGCCTCCTCTGAGGCCGCCTGCCGGGAGGAGAAGTGGCATGTGTCTAAGTTAGCCCAGGCAAGCCTACCGTGAGGTGATTTCGGCTTTCATTCCCTTACATATAACTGAAATTCGTGTCTACTTTTGAAACTACTTTTGCATTAATTTATTCTTTTTATGCACACATCAAGGCCGGAACCGCCCCTAGTCCGTGTACGTGCGCAGGGTGGCTAATGTCTTACTTCTCATCCATCCCAGACACTTAATGTCTCGGAGTTTCCATAGCTCTGACACCAGTTGTCCTTTCCTGTTACATGAACTAAGATTTGGGTGATCAACATAAGGCCTCCTGTGGGCTGTGGCATTGATCACTGGATGTGATGTCATTCCTCTCACCCCAGCAAAAGTTCCCAGCCCCCAATCGCCTCTGCTACGTAAAAATTAGCATGAAAAGCAATATCACAATATCTGACAAGTTGCACTGATCTGTGTCCTAATTAATCCTGTAAACTACCTTTACCTTTCTCTGCTTCAAATCCTGCATGTCCAGACCAGCCTGAAGTTGCTCAGGGTGTCTGCCTTTGAGGGTAATCTTCAGCGATGATCTCCCTCTCAGACTGCTAAGTATGCATCATTTCTGTGCTGCCGGGAAAAATACCGCCACTTTGGTGGTACGTGAAAACACGCTGTCAGGTCAGCTCAGACGGGACCGCAGTCTGCTCTGGGCCAGGGCGAGCTCCTTCCAGCGCTCGGCTGCAGACAGCACTCAGAGCTGTCCTGGTGGGTGTCGGGCGGAAAGCTTCCCACAGACCGTGTGAATCACTCCCCGTTGTCAGCAAGCCAGCAGCACGTTGGTGCCCAGGAGGCTGCCACCCACTCTTTGCTTCTTGCCAGGGCCCCCTCACCCTTCTCACAGAAGTGCTTGGGTATCTCACTCACCCGCCAGGGACTCAAGGCTGGATGGTGGCGAAAGGGCCAGAGAGGCTCCAGCCAGCCCAGTCTGAACCTGAGGGTCTCTTGGCAGAAATTATTTTCTCTTCTGCTTGTTCTTACCTGAAACCATCAACACAAATGAACTTGTACCACAAAACACACAAGAACATGCAGAGCGTGGGCAACAAAGGAGGGGACTGAGTGTTGATGGGGTCCTTGGGGCCCATGGACAGACCTGGGGTGATGGGAGAGGACCAGGTTGGCCAGGGCTTAGAGGGGCAGTGGGATGGGCTAGCTGCCTAACTGTCTGAAAGGACCACTGTGTGGCCTTATGGCCTTACTGGGACATGGTAGAAAGCTCAGCCCTGACTGTTCACTGGGTCTCCCATTCCCTTAGCTCCCTAACCCACTTCCATCGGAAAGATGTTGACCGAGCACATGGAGTGATCTAGGAGCTGTGCACAGGGATAGAAATGCAAGGACAAATAAACGTGCCCTTACCTGCTCGCATAACAAGCAAGCATGAGAGCTGACCACAGGCCCAGGTCCCCAGGGCTGGCCACACCCTGTGATGGCAGTGAGGTGGGGAAGGAGTGCACAGGTCCGAGCAGCTGCACCCTGGGGGGCCACAGGATCGAGGTTTCCTGGAGTGAGTGTGGGTGAGACCAGAGGTGAGCCAGGGGAAGCAGAGCCTTTCAGAGCTGGTGGGGGTGGGGTGGAGGTCCCGGAGTGGGGTGTTTCCCAGAGCAGGGAGCGTGAAGGGCACCTCACAGAGTGACTTGTAAACCCATGCCTTGGGGTGTGAAGTGGGTGGGAAAGACAGGAATGGGACTGAGTGGTTGGACTGAGGGCAACTCGGGAAAGGTTTGCGTAGCATATTAGAAACTATATTTCCAATTTTTCATGGTAAAATACACATAAATTTTATTATCTCAAGCATTTTAAATGTACAGTTCAACAGTATTAAATATATTTATTGTTGTGCAAACATCACCATAATCATCTCCAGAACTCTTTTCATCTTGTAAAACTGAAAGTCTGTCCCCATTAAACAGTAACTCTCCATTCTCCTCCCCTCAGCCCTTGGTACCCACCATTCTACTGTCTTTCTCTATGAATATGACCATTCTAGGTGCCTCATATCAGTGGAATTATACATTATTTGCCCTTTTGTGACTGACATCTCACTGAGAATAGCGTCCTCAAGACTCACCCAAGTTATAGCACGTGTCAGAACTTCCTTCCTCTATAGGCAGAATCATCTTCCACTGTATGGATAGACCACATTTCATTCATTCGTTCATCAGTGAACACGTGGGCTGCTTCCTGTGTTGGCCGTTATGAATTATGCTGCTATGAACATGGGTGTACAGATATCTGCTTGAGACTGCTTTCAACTATTCGGGATATATACCCAGAACTGAAGTTGCTATGGTAATTCTATTAAGCTTAATTGTTTTAGGAACCACCAAACTGTTTTTGCAGCAATGACACCATTTTATAGTCCCACCAGTGGTGCCCAGGGTTCTGATCTCTCCAAATACTAGCCAGCACTAACTATTTTCTTTCTTTGTGATAATGGCCATCTCATTGTGGTTTTGATTTACAGTTCCCTAATGAATGGTGTAGAGACTTTTAACTCTACTCCATTTTATTAATTTATGTCAGTGTCAAAGGCCCTCAGGTGGGGCCGGAAGCACCGACATCACCTGCTACTAAGGCCTCAGATAGGCAGGGGCAGTGGGAGGAGGTGGAGCAGGGGATTGCACAGTCAGACCTGGGAGACTGGATGACTGGTGGTGAGGGCAAGGGCAAGGGAAAGGGGGAAGCACCCTTCAGGCTTCCAGCCAGGGTGATGAGAAGCCAGGGTATCTTTCTCTGATGGAGAAACAGGCTGGGAACAAAAATGATCATTTCAGTTGGGCATACATTGATGGAGAGGTTTCTGAGGACATGCAGGGAAGGCTGGACACGGGGAGCCGATGCCTGTCTGTAGCTTAGACGGGACTGGAAGCCGTGGGGACAGCAGGATCAGATGCAGAGGCCCATCTGATAGGGTTCCTGTGGGGCCTTGGTCCCCCTGGCCTGCGGGGCGGGTCCGTGGAGGACTCGCTGCAGCCCCAGGAGGGCACGAGGCCTGTTGCAGGCATTTGGAGAGATTTGTCCTGGAGGAGTAATTAAATGATACATAATAATAGCTGTCAGTTATCACGTCCCTACAATGTGCTAACAGAGCCCTGTGTTCACCATCTTATTTTCTCTTAAATAGATGCATATACTATTATTATTCCAACTTTACAGATGAGAAAACTGAGGCTTAGCGAGGTCTGAGATTTCAATCAAGTTCATAAAGAAAATAAGTGGATAAAATGATTTAATCCCTGCTTTTATTCATGATGCCCCTAAAACATTTCTTTGAGGAAGCATTCCTACAGTGGGACCACCTCATAAACATTTCTCTGGTTGTACCCCCTGCTCTTTAACTTGGTAAACATTTGTCTGCTGCAAATGCTTCTTATCTCCAGCCCTGAGGCTCAGCTGTTCCGCCTCCTTACAGCAGAGCACGCGGTCTAGGAAAAATCACTCATGCAGGGCATTTACTCAGCACTTTTCATGACATGAGTAGTCTGGGCTACAGTATTTTGTAAACACTATCAAAGGGCATTTTGTACATCAAAATGTGGCTTCCGGGGCATCCACATCAGGACAGCATGTCCGGGTGGCCTGCAGCAGGCGTCCTGGGTGATAAGCCAAGTCTTGAGCTGTCCGTGGAAGCTCTGCCTCCCTGTCCAGGAGACAGCAGCCTCGCCCAGCTGTGAGCTCTGATAAGCAAGCTGCACAGAAGGAAGGGGAGAGAACTGTGTATGACCGACGGACATGTCGGAATCAGATTATGGTGGCTTGTAAGGGAAATGTACGCATTCTGAAGGCCTCACAGATGCTGTACACGCTGTCCTGACCTAACAGGCCAGCCTCAATCTCATTACTCCCCCGAAGGACTGCAGGAAGTGACCGAATGTCAGCTTTGTCCGGAGCAGCCCCAAGCTATGCCTGCTGTCCCAGTTGAACAATGCAGTCTACGTTTTCTCTCTCTTTGCTCTGATTTGGTTTCCCACGCTAATTGATTTCAGAGGAGGCACAGACTTCCTGTCCAAAGCCTCCAACCCATCCTCTTCCCAGACTTGAAAAATAATGGGCCCATCCGTCTCCCAAGATAAGAACACCTGAGTCCTTTGGGCTCATTGTGAGACCCTGGGCACACACTGTAAGTGTGTGATCCTTGAACAACACCAGGGTTAGGGACACCAACCCCTACCCGCCCCACCCCTCCCCCCACCCCCCGCCACTAAGTAAAATATCTGGGCATAATGATTTTTATTGTGTGTGTGTGTGTTTTTTTTTTTATTTGTTTCAGAGAGAGGAAGAGAGAGAGGGATAGAAACATCAATGATGAGAGAGAATCATTGAATGGATGCCTCCTGCATGCTCCCTACTGGGGATCCAGCCAGCAACCTGGGCATGTGCCCTGCCTGAGAATTGAACCATGACCTCCTGGTTCATGGGTCAAGGCTCAACCACTGAACCGCACCGGCCGGGCTGGGCATAACTTTTGACTCCCCAAATACTTAACTACTCATAACCTACTGTTGAGCAGAAACCCTAATGGTAACATAAACTGTTGATGAACACATATTTTGTATGTTTTGTGTATTACATACTGTTTTCTTACAATAAAGTAAGCTAGAAAAAATAAAATGATATTTTTAAGAAAGTCATATATAATTTTTAAAAAATCTGTGTATAAATGGACCCATGCAGTTCAAACCCACATTGTTCAAGGATCAACTGTATTCAGTCTGTGGACATGTAACAGGATGAAGCCAGCTCCCTAATTAAGTATGGGTCAAGTTTTTGAATGTGACTTTGTAGTTGAGGAAGCATGGGAGAGATTTAATCACCTGATTTCAGACCATTTTCAAATGAGGGAGGAGGGGCTGTGATGGGAGCTGCCCACCATCACCTGGTCAGCGGGTGACAGGGCAGGTCTTCGGATTCTAGTCCCTCGTCTTCCTGCTGCTGCCTAAGAAAGTGTTCTCCTGCAAGGCACTGGCGCCCACACTCTCACAGGGCTCTGCACATCTTTGGAGGAGAGGGCAAGAGTACGGCTGCCCCACCAGAACTGCCAGGGCCTGCCAGACACCTTGTCTCCCACCTCCTCTGCACACCCCGCCCTGTTTGCACCCTTTCATGGTACTTTTTGGGGAGCAGGATACAGATGTGTTTTTGATGGAAGGGCCAGAGATTCCTGATTCCAAAACCCCACCTAGGCACCCCAGGAATTCATTCTCAGATTTCACGGGAGCGGGTTTGAAGGTTAATACCACATGGCTGTGCTGCCTCAGGTCCAGTAGGAGCCTCCCCACAACTAGCATCCTATTTTCTAAAAAATTGTAAACTTTCACGATGCCTTGTCTTTGTGCCAACAGATCTGAGTGTGGCAGCGTGTACTACAATGCCTCAGACCCCCTGCTCCCTGGGAAATTTCGAAAAGACTCCACCTGGCATTCCGCATCCTCATGTTTGTTCTTCTTATGAATAGCGTCCGGCTTTCTGATCCTAGGGTTCTTCCGGACTTCCACAGTCATCCACCCTTTCTGTTAATGACATCTAAGTACGTCTGTGTTTCCTGAAGCTAAACCTGGTGCTTGAACTCTCAGTGTGTTTATGGCTGGGCCCAGCTCCCATGGCTCCATAACCTCGGTGGCCAGGTCTGTGAAAGCCACATGGTGTCACCCCCAAGGTTAGGGGTAGAGGCCACCTCCTTGCCAAAGTGAAATAAA